TTTTTTAAATTTTATTTTTAGTAAGATCTGATCAATGTTATCGCAAAAATGTTACGAACCATTATTATTTTACGGGTTTAAATGTCACGAACTTTATATGCGAATAAAAAAAGATCTAATAAATGCGTCTCGTTCGATATCTTCAAATCTTTGTCGTTTATCAACGTTAACGCATGTCAATCAAACAAATTGCAACCATTTTATAATTGTAGATAATAAATAATAATGATAATAATACATTTGAAAATTAAAATATCCTTGTAAATTATGTACAGGTAATTGTGACGGTGGATTAATTGAAAGTAACAGGAAAAAAAAAAAGATGAAATATTGTTGAAATAAATTTTATGATTTATTCGATAAATATATATAAAATTATAAATTATAAAATTAATAAATAAGAAAATAAATTATAGAATTATAAATTATAAAATTATAAATTATAAAATTAATAAATAAAAAATTAAATTATAGAATTATAAATTATAAAATTAATAAATAAAAAAATAAACTATAGAATTATAAATTATAAAATTAATAATTAAAAAAACTAATTATAATATGATTTATAGAATTATATATCTATATTTTTATAAATCATGAAAATAAATTTATATTGTAAATATATAATATAAAATATAATTTTCAGACTTAGATCATTATCACACACACATAATTACCTGTATACACAGTTATATGCTTTTGCTCATATTTATGAAATTCTACATATTATTTGAAGAAACAAAACGTATTACGAATATTTTAATATTATCTTTTGTTGAAATTTGACAGACGTCGCTCGTGAAAATACCCAGCTCTGAGAAATTCTCAATTTCGATGCTATTGAGTATACTACTCTACTAGTATTATCTACTTTGTACTTCACACCTTATGAATAATTCACAGGAACGATTGTATATTAAATCAACGAATAAAAAGAAAAAACAAAAATTGCCCTAAAACCCTTCGATCTTTCCTTTTCTATACGTTTATATTCGATAGACTTTATTTCGTTCTTATGATATTTCAAATATGGAAATTGAAATCTTTCATGATTCTCATTTCTCATTTTCTTTTTTTTTCTTCGATTTTTCTTTAATCTCGACAAACACAATTTTCTTCTATTTCTTTTTGTTTTTGTTTTTGTTTTTTTTTTTCTATGTATCGTTCAATTTTTATATCGAAAGAAGAATAAAGATAAGATAAAATGTTCCGAAGTAATAACATTTATGTATTTTTTATTTTTCTTTTATTTATTTTAAATTCTGGAAATGAAAATGAAATTAAAGCTCGATGACATTCTATGGTTAAGTTGGTTCCCTTTTTTTTTTCTTCTTCTCGCGTATCATGGGATATCGTTAAATATTATCGCGTAACGAAGAAAGTTGAAAATTCTTGTCGTTCTCCAAAGTTTTTCCTTTTTACCGCAGCTTATAAACTTTTATTCACCTTTTTTACTCTTTTTTTTCTCTCTCTCTTTTTCTTCTTCTTCTTCTTCTTCTTCTTCTTCTTTTTTCTTCTCTTTTTATTTTCATCTTATATTTCTTTTTTGTTTTTAACCATCCACCCCGTCCCATGAAATTCTTATATTCGCTTGAAGAAAAAGTTAAAGGAACGTGGCTAGAATTCTCGTTATGTTCGTTTTTATCTTCTTCTTCTCTCCCTTTCTCTTTCACTCTCTATCTCTATCTCGTATTAAATTAGATACATCTTAGATTAATGTGGAAATAAAATATTTCTCATATTATTTCTACTCGAACATTTTTTTTTTTCTTTTAAATCAAACTAAAAAGTTACTATTTATTTAAATTACAATGTTTAAGATTAAATTTATCAATGTTTCATTTATATTTATTTCTATTACCACCAATCAAATGACACATACTTTATTATGTGCAATACATTAATAAATATTATATATATATATATATATATATATATANCAATTTTTCATTTTCTTTCCCGTTACCTTTTCGTTTTATTGGATATCGAAATTATTTTTTTATTTTTTGTTTTTGTTTTTTTTTTCAACGAAAAAGTAATCATTTTTTTTTTGCAAATTTATTTTTATTAATTTTCAAAGGGTAATATTAGAAATTGTTAAAAATTAAATATTTAATTTTTTGTTTTATTGGTTATCTAAAGTATTTTTTTATTTAATTTTTTTTTTGTGAACAGAAAAGTAAAATTTGATTTGATTGAATAAATAACGGCAAATAATTAACAATTATTATATAAACTTTATTTTTGCTTTTTAATGAGTCCTTTAATTTAAACCGATTTTTAACGATTAATTTCTCTTTCTTTTTTTTTTTTTTCGATTATCACTTTCATTCGTACGTATCAAATCGAATAAAATCTTATCGCAATAACACACCCTGTGTGTGTGGTTGTAATACATTTTTACTACTGTAAAAATATATATGTATCTTTTTAATTTAATTTTCGCGCAAATTAAACCGCTTGCTGCTAATTAGAAAAAAAAAAATGAATAAGAAAAATGGGACAAAACGAAGAGAATAGAAAAAAAAAACGTATTGCCAAAAAAATGTGATCGCGTGAAAAGAATTTAGTTTCGTATTGAAGAAACTTTACATGCGATACAATTTGACCCACGCGTTCTGTTTTTCAAATAAAATTAATTCCTAACATTTTTTAAAGGTTTCTACTTTTTATTTTTCATTATTTTATTTTATTTTATTTTTTTATCATGGTCGGATTTGAAAATCACACTGGTGAGTTACTTTTACGTGAAAATAAAATAAAATAAAATAAAAGAAAAACAAATTAATACAAATATAACGAAAAATAAAACAAAACCAAAATAAAATAAAACAAACTAAAAAAATAAAATCAAATAAAATAAACATTAAAAATAAAGTAAGCGAAAAATTGTTAAAAAGCCTAGCAAGCGAGCTTGCGACCGAATGAAGGTGGGTTAAAAGGGGTGGCAGGAGGGAAGAAGGGGTACGAGGAGAACACAGGGGGGGGGTTGACAGAAAAGGGGGTGTAGAGACAGCCCGATACGTTTTAGCACGAATCTCTATTCTATGCATGACATACTCGAGGATAAGGGTTGAAGAGGGGTATAGTGGTGAAGGGGGTGGACAGAAGGATGAGGAGGAGGATGGTGGAGAGTGAAGCTTGATTATAGTACGTTGGCAGTCAGCCAAACGACAGGATGCTCTTTTCCTCCCTTCCTTCTCTGTCCCTTTCCTTTTCCACCCCTTCCTCCTCCTCCTCTTTATCCTCATCTTTCTCTTCCTATTCTTCGTTCCACTCTTATTCTGGTTACGATACCGCCTAGGTGGCCTCAACACGTCCAGAAAAGATAATTAAACTAACAATGTTGCAAGAACTTCTTCATCCCCTTCTTTTTTTCTATTCCAGTTTATTATTCCTCCTATTGTTTCTTTCGACTTTTCTTTCTTTTATTTTACTCGTTTAATTCTGGTTTTAGTCATTTGACAATGAACATTGACAATATTAAATAATTAAGTATATTTTTGAACAAATTAGATACATATATATTTTTAAATAATTATTTTAAATATCCCCTTTTTCGTTCTCATTTTCTTTTAAAGTTTCCTTAAAGGGTTTGTTTTACAGAATAAAAATTAGATATGAAAACATACGTGAACACAATTATCGTAAGCTTCTGATCGAGTGTACGAGCATATTTATACGTTTCTACTACTTGTACGATTTATCGTGTATCTATTTCACTCGTGTATAAAAGTGTGTGTTTTCTCTTTCTACTTTGAATTAACATAAGAGAGAGAAGGATGGTGAAATTATTACTTGTTTTTTTTCTGGAATATGTTCGAGACGGGGACTTCGATAAAATTCACATATACACACATACACATCCAGTGCCATCTACTTTAGCTAGATTAAATTCTACCAAAGCTTTGCGTCAAGTAGATTTTAATTTATTAATTAATTTTGTTATTTTGTTTAAAAAATGAATATTTGTTTAAATATTTAATTATTATAGAGTCGCTCCGCGTATCGAACAATTTTGAAAACGATCTCGGTCGGTACAATCATTTCCTATTTTTTCGTTTTTACTTTTTCCATCCTAACTTTACTACCCTCCGTTAGATGGCGTGCTATAGAAAAAAGAAACTCTAAGGATAAGGGAACGATTTTGAAGCTAAGGGTAATTTTAATCCCACGTTGGATATGAAAGACAAATTTTTCCTTCGTCGGTAAACTTACAAAATAAAGTAGAATCCTTTTCTGTTACGATTTATCCTGCTTCTCTTTTTCAAATCCTGTTTCGATTTATTTCACCCTCTTTCATATTTCCTTTTTTAAATAATTATGTCAAATATTTGTTTTTTCTTTCTTTTTTTAACGTAATCGTGAACGAACGTATTAGATATTCGTTAAGAAGACAAAGATGAACAATAAACACACGAAATATTTGGAAAACACATAGAGAAAAAGTAGTGATTGGGGTTGAAATTGTAGGAATTTGTTATGTCGATTACAGATAAGGATAATGAACACAAATGGGGAAGACATTAAAGAGAGAAAAACTCTCGATACTCGTTGCTCTGGATCAAAATTGATTTTCCAAAACGAAATATATCGAGCAAATACATTGAGAAAAAAGTAACAACAACACAACGACAATGACGATTACGAAGAGAATAAGACAACGACGACATCAAGAATAATAATAATGATTAATATTTTACAAAAGAAGGGTTACAATTATCATGATAATGATAATATTGATAATGATGATGATAATGACGATGATTATTATGTAGGGGGATGAGATAAATGATCTGAATCTTCATTGTGTTTTTATTTAAAAAATAAAATTAGAGTACACTAATAACTCATTTTCGTAATTGGTCAAGATGTTGGTGATGGATGGTGATCGGTGATTGATGACAAATGGTGAGAATATAGTGGTGGGTGATATAAAATATCAAAAAAAAAAAAAATTGTCAAAATGCAGAATAATTGCATTACGTATGTCTTACCTGCCGGAATTGTCGTATCCCGCCATTGATTCTCAAAGAATCTGCAGCAATGCCGGCTATTCCATCCCCTGGCTCGCGTAGTTGCCGTAGAGAGGCAGCACTTGGTGCAATTCCAGCGTGTAAATTGCAACAACATCCGGAACAACAGCAGGCCGACGCCTCGGGTTGAGAACTTTGCCTTATTATTCGTGCACTTGGTGATGTTGTCACCAAAACTGGTGGTGGTGGTGCTTGGCAAGGACAGCAATGATGTCCACTCTTCACACTTTCTCTGTTTTAACAAACACATATGAAATAAAAATGTATTCAATTGAAATTATTTATTTGATTTAATAATGATAAAGTTCACATCACATTCTAATGGTAATTTAATCGTAATGATAGGTCATCTTTAAGGAATCAAATATGTCATCGTCAACTGAATGACACTTGTTTGTTAATTACAAGCATCGTTCCATCATTGGCTCTGATTACATTGTTTAAACACGATCGATAGGGAACCTCTTCTTCTTCTTCTTCTTTGAACTAGAGATATTATTTACGATAATAATGGACCGACGAAGTCTTTAAGTAAGTAAGATGAAGAAGACGAAGAGAGGACTATAATTACTTCAACTTCGTTACTATTATTACTTCGTCAATTTCTTCCGATAATCCAACGAAAAAAGATTCGTTTCGATGTATGAAAGAAAGAGAGGTAGGTAGTCCTTTAATCAAAAGAAATTCTTTGATGTGTAGGTGATATTATAGTTGATTAAAAACTTCACTGAGATATCATTCTTTTTTTTTTTTTTTTAAATCTATAGTGATAATCGTGAACAACGTAACGTTAAAAAAGTACTTTCAGAACTTTTTAGATACTTCCTACGATTAATAAGTATGGTTCTTGTGGAAGACCATCCTAATCGATATTTGCTTTAGAGCTAATTGGTCCTTTCGTTAATTGCCAACGGATAATCCTCCCTATCCACAACCATATCTCGTTATCTCTATTTCTCTCACATTTTTTTTGTTTTTTTGATCTCTTTTATGATATATGTTTTTTTATTTGAATAATTTTTTTCTTCTCCATATTCCATTGTGTTTTTGGCATCTTTTATTATATCATTTTTATATTTTGTATTTTAATATCGTATATAAAATCTTTGTTGATTTTTTTTATGGAATATATTGATTAGCGTCTCTCTTTTTTATTTTTTTCATCTCTTCAAATTGCATTTTATGATTGTAAATTTTGTCTTCCTTTTTTTAGTTTGTATATATCAAGTTTAATATTTCAACGTAAAATCAGGAGTCACCCATTCGTCGTAGATTACGAAGCCATTTAAATAAAAGGTAGAAGTTGAGAAGTTAAAGAGAATATCTAAGAATGCAAATATCTTACTCTGTCTCTCTCTCTCTCTCTCTTTCTCTTTCTCTCTCTTTCTCTCCTTACCTACTATCACGTTCGTATTTTTTCCTTTTCTTTTTTTAAATTTTATTTTTAGTAAGATCTGATCAATGTTATCGCAAAAATGTTACGAACCATTATTATTTTACGGGTTTAAATGTCACGAACTTTATATGCGAATAAAAAAAGATCTAATAAATGCGTCTCGTTCGATATCTTCAAATCTTTGTCGTTTATCAACGTTAACGCATGTCAATCAAACAAATTGCAACCATTTTATAATTGTAGATAATAAATAATAATGATAATAATACATTTGAAAATTAAAATATCCTTGTAAATTATGTACAGGTAATTGTGACGGTGGATTAATTGAAAGTAACAGGAAAAAAAAAAAGATGAAATATTGTTGAAATAAATTTTATGATTTATTCGATAAATATATATAAAATTATAAATTATAAAATTAATAAATAAGAAAATAAATTATAGAATTATAAATTATAAAATTATAAATTATAAAATTAATAAATAAAAAATTAAATTATAGAATTATAAATTATAAAATTAATAAATAAAAAAATAAACTATAGAATTATAAATTATAAAATTAATAATTAAAAAAACTAATTATAATATGATTTATAGAATTATATATCTATATTTTTATAAATCATGAAAATAAATTTATATTGTAAATATATAATATAAAATATAATTTTCAGACTTAGATCATTATCACACACACATAATTACCTGTATACACAGTTATATGCTTTTGCTCATATTTATGAAATTCTACATATTATTTGAAGAAACAAAACGTATTACGAATATTTTAATATTATCTTTTGTTGAAATTTGACAGACGTCGCTCGTGAAAATACCCAGCTCTGAGAAATTCTCAATTTCGATGCTATTGAGTATACTACTCTACTAGTATTATCTACTTTGTACTTCACACCTTATGAATAATTCACAGGAACGATTGTATATTAAATCAACGAATAAAAAGAAAAAACAAAAATTGCCCTAAAACCCTTCGATCTTTCCTTTTCTATACGTTTATATTCGATAGACTTTATTTCGTTCTTATGATATTTCAAATATGGAAATTGAAATCTTTCATGATTCTCATTTCTCATTTTCTTTTTTTTTCTTCGATTTTTCTTTAATCTCGACAAACACAATTTTCTTCTATTTCTTTTTGTTTTTGTTTTTGTTTTTTTTTTTCTATGTATCGTTCAATTTTTATATCGAAAGAAGAATAAAGATAAGATAAAATGTTCCGAAGTAATAACATTTATGTATTTTTTATTTTTCTTTTATTTATTTTAAATTCTGGAAATGAAAATGAAATTAAAGCTCGATGACATTCTATGGTTAAGTTGGTTCCCTTTTTTTTTTCTTCTTCTCGCGTATCATGGGATATCGTTAAATATTATCGCGTAACGAAGAAAGTTGAAAATTCTTGTCGTTCTCCAAAGTTTTTCCTTTTTACCGCAGCTTATAAACTTTTATTCACCTTTTTTACTCTTTTTTTTCTCTCTCTCTTTTTCTTCTTCTTCTTCTTCTTCTTCTTCTTCTTTTTTCTTCTCTTTTTATTTTCATCTTATATTTCTTTTTTGTTTTTAACCATCCACCCCGTCCCATGAAATTCTTATATTCGCTTGAAGAAAAAGTTAAAGGAACGTGGCTAGAATTCTCGTTATGTTCGTTTTTATCTTCTTCTTCTCTCCCTTTCTCTTTCACTCTCTATCTCTATCTCGTATTAAATTAGATACATCTTAGATTAATGTGGAAATAAAATATTTCTCATATTATTTCTACTCGAACATTTTTTTTTTTCTTTTAAATCAAACTAAAAAGTTACTATTTATTTAAATTACAATGTTTAAGATTAAATTTATCAATGTTTCATTTATATTTATTTCTATTACCACCAATCAAATGACACATACTTTATTATGTGCAATACATTAATAAATATTATATATATATATATATATATATATATATACAATATCATTTATGCAATAAGAATATTCTTAACCTAATTATAATAATACTATTATAATCGAAAAGTTAAAAAAAAAAAAAAAAACATCTGACCCTTCGTGGTAGTTTTAATATTAATACAAAATAATCATTTCATTAATAATTAAATAAACACTATTTTGTACATAATTTATATACAAGTAGATAACAATTTCAGAGAATCGTATTAATCCAATCTAATTACATTTATTTATTATTTATATAATTGTGTATTATATTGTATATTATATATACATACAATTATGAAAGTGATCTAGGTTTCGAAATATTATTTAAAAAATTACATTTGAACACGAAAATTTAATTCTATATAATATTGTTATAACAAACCCTATTTATAATAAATTTATTTTTGACAATATCATGAAAATTACACTTAATTAATTTACTTTAAAATAATGTAATATGAAATAATTCTAATAAATTAATTTTTTCTTTCAATTTTTACTTAGACCATTTTTATAATTATGATCATATTTATCTTACAAAGAAATTTATTATTAAAATATAAAATAATCTAAAGGCAAGATCATCATTGTATAAATTTTGTGTCTAGTAATTTAACTTGAAGCTCGTCAAACTGTTCGAGAGCATAGGTTCTCTAAACATAGAACAAGAATGACAGAAACTAAGAGAGAGAGAGAGAGAGAGAGAGAGAGAGAGAGAGTGAGAGAGAATCTCGAAAGTCCAAGTCAATCTTCTGTAGCAAATGACATCGTAGAAACGTCGGAACGTTGAAGACACGAAATCCTGGCGTTATGTTTCCTCCCCCCCCCCTTCCTGTTGCCCCCCTTATATTCTCTTGGGAAACGTCACCACGAAATGGACCTACCATGTATATAAGTATTACATGCTATCATCCTTATGTGAGACGACCTTTGACCTCTTTAACCATCAACGAACGAGACAATATACTCGTCGATCGAAAAGGAAGGAAATTCATCCGTTCATTCAGGGTTTCCCACCCATTTTTCCTTTTAGTATCATCATCATCATCATCATCATCATCATCATCATTCGAGTCGATGAGTCGAACTATCATTCATACAAAATCTTTATAAGACACTTATTACCATGCAATTTGTCATGTTTGATTTCGTTCAAGTGAATTTTCTATTCTATTCCGATCAAATTATTCTTCTTTCAATACTTTTTATTCCTTTTATCTTCTTCTTCATTTTTTTTTTAGTTCTTTTTTCTCTCTCTCTCTCTCTCTCTCTCTCTCTCTTTCTTATTTTAAAAGATCTCTTCGAATTTACTTTTATTATTTTTTTTTTTTTTTTTTATAGATATCGAGAAATGAATTTATTTTCATTTGAAGATGAATTGCTAGAATTTTTTTCATTCTTTCTTTATTTTTTTCTTCTTTTTATTCCATCTTTGACTTTATACTTTTATGATTTGAATTTATTGAAGATTTGTGACATTTTTTTGGTAACTTTTTTATTTTTATATATTGGTCTTTTTTTTTCTCCTTGTTTCTTCTTTTTCAATAAATTATAATCACATTTTAACATTATTATTTTGAGAATACAGCCAACAGTTTTTTTTTTTTTTTTTTTAATATTTTTATCTCGCGTAGTAAATTCAGAAAATATTAATTATTTAAAATCACGAATTACATTGTGAGTTAAAAGTTTTTTTTTTTGTCGGTCAAAAGTATATTCGCGATATTCCAAATTAATTTTTCGAAATTCGTCGGGCTAATCGTTTTATTTATCTTCTTTTTATTTTTATTTTTTTTTTTTTTAACTAAATTTTTATGTTTCTATTCTTTGTAATGATATTTATCAGCGACGAATTAATTTTAAACGATTATGGAAACAAGAAAAGAAATAAACAAAAATATAAATAGAAATGATAAATGATAATTTTCCTATCATATTCTCTTATCAAAATGTGTGTTCTACGTCGTATTGCAGATTTTAAAATCGAAATAATTATACTCGACTAACAATAAGTTTAACAAATTTCCAACTACGACAGATCGAAGTTTTTGAAAGAGAGAGAGAGAGAGAGAGAGAGAGAGAGAGAGAAGAAATATAATTGGATCATTGAAGTATTTTAAAAAGTTTTATTGAAATTTTTCTTCGCTACGATAAATTCAATTTTTGCAAGATTGCATTAACGAGAATCGTTATAAATTTTCTTTTTTTTCAATGAAAGAATGTTTTCATTTTTTATTTTTTGTTTCCAAATGAACAGATTTATATGTACATATGGTTTAAATAATCTAATAATCTAATAATTCTTTCATATAAATAATACATCATAGATGATGTTTATTTATTATTTCATTAATAACAAATAATAAATAATATTATATTAGAAATATATGAAAATATTCCTTGTGTCCTGTATTATCGATCGATATCGAAAATTATATTGTCGAGTCCCATGACGATGAATTCTATCTCTATTATAATAGAACTATGAATATAGGAATATGTAGATACGTAAATGCAGTAATTTATACGTTTCGATGAGCTATACTCTCGGGTAATTAAATATATTCTTGTAATCAAGATAATCAAGAAAATGAGAGACGTGCCTTTGACTATACATATACATATATACATCGAAATTTACTATGAACAAAGAGAAAGAGGGAATTGGAGAAATCGTCGAGACGTGAAGCAACGTTTAACACTAATTTGACATTTTCCACTTGGAATATTCAAAGGATCATCGATTTACAGAATAACTGTCTATAATCGAGTTTTTTAAATCGAAATACTACTTCGATTGTATTATAATTTACAAAACTAGCTTTTCTGTTTTAATAAATTATGTCAAATATATATATTGTATATCTCTTACTATTCTTTTTCATATTATTTCTTTTTATATTTTTTGTTGTTTACATTCATGTTAATTTATATTTTAGTTGAAAGGAAATAGATTATATCATTAAAATTCTTGCACGTGACGTAAATTCTTAAGGTAGATCGATTTTCCTTCTTTCTAAAGGTTTTCTACTTTATACTTTAGATCGAAGACAGCGGGAACGTGTCTATCTTCGTCAAAAATAGAGAACTTCATTGGAACGAATTTATTTACCTTTTTGCTCCACTTTACGCCTTTCAACCTTAGATAGCATTCTACTAAATGTAAATCTAAGAAATAGGATATATAATGCATATGTAGTTTCTATAAGTACATAGCTGATTTTTTTAAAAATCTACCCACTTACTATAATGTGTATTATAATATATATGTATATGTATATATATAAAAAAGTAGTTAACGATAAGTGCATCTTTACGATGATGTTACTTTGATCGATAACTAATATCGAACATAAATATATTTCTTCGTCATTTGTCGTTGGAGGAAAATAAATTTCCAATAAAAACATTTTTGATCGATGGCTGTATTGAATTCTTCTTATAAAATGTAATATTTTATAATAAAGTATTTATTAATTGTTCCCACATAATTATAAAAGTGATCTAAGTCATGTGTCTTTAGTTTTGAGATATTTAAAGGAATTATATTTGAACACTAACAATAAATGAATTCTATATAATTAATATTTTTATATATAATTTAATATTAATTATATATTTTATAATTAATATAATAATTGATATTTTTAATATAATTATTTAATATGGCAAGATTCGTGAAAGAAGTCAAGTTTAACGTGTATCATAAATTGTAATGTAAACTCACCTCGAAACACTGCGAGCCAAGTGAAGGGCCGAGGAGGGCGCTAAAGAATCCCTTCGATCGCATCTGCAACGAGTATACTGATGAGACACTTGTCTTGATCTATAAATGGTAGGTGGTACGATTTGTTGCAATTGTTGCTGTTGTTGCAGCTGCTGCTGTTGTTGCTGCTGTTGCTGTTGTTGTTGTTGTTGTTGTTGTTGCTGTTGTTGTTGTTGTTGTTGTTGTTGTTGTTGTTGTTGAAATTCACCGTCCAATCGACAGTGTAATTCGATATCGGGTACCGATCTTGTAGCCGGATCTTCGGTGGTGCCGCTCTCCTCGGAGCCGCCAAGTCCAGACACTGACAGTTGCGGTGAAGCAACCAAAAATGTTGCCCTATTCTGTCGCGTTAGCACCGGCTTGCCCTGAGACGCCGCGGCAACCACCACCGGCGGGGGTGGTGCCCTACTCAGAAGGGCGGCTGTCTCTTCGTTACTACCACCATAATCGTTCCCATTGCCGCCCTCCTGAGATCCTACGTTACCGTTTGTGTTGTTCATTTCTCCTCTCCACTTCTCCTCCTCTCTCTCTCTCTCGCCTCCCTTCTCTTTTATGGTAAACACCGATCACGATTTTTTCTCCATTTTCTGTAACAAATAAATATTCACATTTGTAAAAATTTAATTATTATTTATTTGGTTTTTTCTTTTTTTGTTTTTGTTAATAAGGGCTTGGGAACTTTTCGGAAATCTAAGAATTCATTTTAAGTAAGAAACAAAATTTATAAGTGGGCTTAAAACATTTTAATTTGATTTGGTTTGGTTTATATAATATAAATATATATTAGTTAATATATATTTAAATTTCAATGTTTATTAACACATTTGAAATTATTGGAAGTTTCCATAAGAATTTGTATTCTCATTTATGATAGATATTTCTTTTTTAATGTAGGATAAATAAAATAAACTATTGTAGTAAATTTTTATAATATTCGTTTAAATGTAAATACTAACGTATAGTATTGCAAAATTAATATTACTATTATGTATTACTTGTTCAATGTAATTTTTGGACGGAAATCTAAGAATTCATTTGAAATAAGAACCATAATTTAAAGGTTGAGTCAAAATATATTAATTCAATTAATTTGTTTGTTATATTTCAATGTTTAATAATGTGTATGGTACGGATTCTAGTTTCAATTAAAAATTTGCATTTGCATTTATGACAGATATTTCTTTTTGAGAGTAAAATGAATAAAATGATACTTTATTGTATAATAAATTTTTATTTTATACGTTCAAATGTAGATACTCACGTATAGTATTGCAAAAATAATATTACTGTTATTTATTTCAATGTTCAGTTCATATTCAATGTAATTTTTGATCTTGTATGTTCTTTGACAATTTTATGTTAATCATATTTGAAATTTACTTCGAACATATTAGAATTAATTTAGCTTTTAAACTTTCATCTGTTAGTTTGCTTTTATGTTTGCTTTTAATATGGTTCATCGCAGAGAAAAATTGTTTAAAATTGTATGTGGTTCTAAACAAGGTCAACATTCTAAAAGCTAATCTTCTGGCATTTGAATAATTAGTTGAAAAGTTAGTGATAGTGTTGCAAATAATAAATACCTCTATTTTTATTTTAAATTTATTTCAAATTTGCATTTTAAATTATTTTGTTTGAATAATTATTGGCTCTGTCATCAACACAACAAATTTTTATGAAAAATTTAAAACTTCCTTTTTTTTTTTTTGAAAAAAAAAAAAACTTGTTTTCTATCGGTTAGATTTCGTCATTGTTTTTAAATTAATTACTAAGTTATTTGTATTATTTTGTTTTGGAAATATGATCGGTTGCTTCGAAAAAATTACGTCCAACTTTTTCAATATTTTATTTCAAATATTGAAATATTATTTAATATATTAAATATTTGAATTAGACAAAACTAATATTAATTATACCAGTATAATAATTAATTTAACCAATTAACCAATACATTTCTTCTAACAAATTTTACATTAGAATAAATTAAAATACCACCGAATACTTGTAGTTTATCCAAATCACGTTAATATTCTATTTCAAAAGTTTGAATAATTAAATCAATCTCAATATGTTTAATGTTGTTACCACGAAACGCTTGTTTGAAAGCTGCTAATAATCCCTTCGTAGGTTTCAATAACAATTACAATTCATTATATCGTTAATGTTTACGACGTAATACGGCGAATACTATTAATCGACGTTAGGTTTGATTTTAACGATGTTTGGTTACAACCCCTTACGATGAAATGAGAAAGGGCTGAGTTGAGTTGGAACGGGTGGGTAATTTCGTAAAGCACTGTACACAAAATTTGTTTTCTCTAAACTTAATATTCCTCTAATAAATTATCTTAATGAATTACCAGAAGTTTGCTATATAACCAGTTTATTTTTTCCTGACATGAATAATGTCTTTATTTAATGTATGAATATTTTAATCTGTAAAGTAATACGACGAATATTAAAAAATCGGGTTCTTTTAAATGAACGAGGAAAATTATTAGTTTGTAATAATATTGTTGACATTATCGAAGACGTTGTTTCTAACTTTCGTTGGGTTCTTATACGACTTGACCTTTTTCAAAGACAAGTTTTAATACATCGGTATAATAAATACATAAATAAATATTTTGTATTGAAACGTTAGTCTAATAGAAGTCATCGTCAAAGTAGTTTATATAGAAACAATTTGTAAGAAGTACGTTTTATATTATATCTCAGATAATTTTTAATTAATTACAAATTTCATAAAGTTTAATTAATAGATATATCAATTAGTATTATAAATTATATTATAAATTATTATTATTATTATATTTTATTTA